AAAAAAAAAAAAATGGTGCTGTGTGTGAACAAATGCAAAAACAAGTAACGGGTGATTTTTTTGAGGTTAGGATTTTCATGCATTAGTATTTGACAGATCACGTGGGATTTCAGACATGGTGTCAAAGAGAAAGATGCTCAGTATGCTTTGACATTTCATCATGAATAGACTTACTAACGAGCAACGCTTGCGAATCATTGAATTTTATTACCAAAATCAGTGTTCGGTTCGAAATGTGTTTCGCGCTTTAAATTTTGTTCAGCGATGAGGCTCATTTCTGGTTGAATGGCTTCGTAAATAAGCAAAATTGCCGCATTTGGAGTGAAGAGCAACCAGAAGCCGTTCAAGAACTGCCCATGCATCCCGAAAAATGCACTGTTTGGTGTGGTTTGTACGCTGGTGGAATCATTGGACCGTATTTTTTCAAAGATGCTGTTGGACGCAACGTTACGGTGAATGGCGATCGCTATCGTTCGATGCTAACAAACTTTTTGTTGCCAAAAATGGAAGAACTGAACTTGGTTGACATGTGGTTTCAACAAGATGGCGCTACATGCCACACAGCTCGCGATTCTATGGCCATTTTGAGGGAAAACTTCGGAGAACAATTCATCTCAAGAAATGGACCGGTAAGTTGGCCACCAAGATCATGCGATTTGACGCCTTTAGACTATTTTTTGTGGGGCTACGTCAAGTCTAAAGTCTACAGAAATAAGCCAGCAACTATTCCAGCTTTGGAAGACAACATTTCCGAAGAAATTCGGGCTATTCCGGCCGAAATGCTCGAAAAAGTTGCCCAAAATTGGACTTTCCGAATGGACCACCTAAGACGCAGCCGCGGTCAACATTTAAATGAAATTATCTTCAAAAAGTAAATGTCATGGACCAATCTAACGTTTCAAATAAAGAACCGATGAGATTTTGCAAATTTTATGCGTTTTTTTTAAAAAAAAAGGTATCAAGCTCTTAAAAAATCACCCGTTACAAATGTATCAACAATTTAATTTTCTGTTTTGTGGCCGTTTGGTAATAATAAATGCCGTAAATTATTTTTAAAATTTTTATCGATTTAAATTAGCGGAATACTCCTCTAATAGAGAGATGTCGTTTACTTTTTGTTTGTGTATTTTGCATAAAATTTATTCACGTATTTTTTGTATATTTTAAAAAAACTCAATAAATTAATTAAGAAATGAACAAAAATTTTATTTTAACTACTAGAGAGTTTTTAATTTGTGCGGCAACTCTGGCCATACTCTTAACCCTGCTTTGATAGCCCTAATGAAAGTTTAATAAGAAAACAAAAAAAAATTATATTAAAAAATAAAAAAAAAACTTAAATAAAAAAAAAGTTTATATAAAATTGTAAATAAAAATCTGCAAAGCATTTCGTATATGTACATAGATAGATTTCTAAAAAAATTTCAAGCTTTTTATAAAATTGTGCTAAAGTACATAATTTTTTTTTTTATTTTTTAATGCACACTGAAAAGTTATATCGAGATTTGTGTTCAAGTTAAAAACTTCGAAACTAGAGAAATATACCAAAAATTTCTATAAAGATCTTTATTTTTAGATCATTGTTATTTCCGATCAAGAATAATTGTTGAATTTTGATTTTAATTTTTTCGGTAAAATTAAATCGTTATTTTGTGATTTTCTTTTTTTTTTGTTCGGAAAAATATATAACACGTTTATGTAAGGATTCTTATTATATATATCATACCCGGTATGTTCCGTGCTTTGTGTTCTTTAATAAAATGCGCATAAGAGTATTGTTAAAATTAGAAAAGGAATACTTTTTATAAATGTTTTTCAAATTCATTCTAAAAGATTTAAAATAACAACATACATTAGGGTGATTCAGAAAAATTTTGATTTTTTCCCTCGGAACCATGCTCAAAAGTTTCGTTTAGACGCCAAAATAAGTCTCAGAAAATATGAGCCCCATTCGACTTTGACCTCGACTTTTGACCTTTTTTATAGAGCGCTCCATTCTCTATACCTTTGCAGTGCAACGTATCGTTCGTTAAATATAAAAATCAGAAGTAAAAAAGAAAAAAAATTCCTTTGTTATTCTTAAGGAAATCGAAATATTGTTAATATTAATTTTAAGGGCTCATATTTTCCGAGACTTATTTTGTTTAAACTTTTGAGCATGGTTCCGAGGAACAAAAATTTTTTTTTCTGAACCACCCTAACATACATATGTATGTACATACGTGAATAAAATTATGCAAAAAAACTTGTTTTGAACAAAAATATGCATATGGCATTTGTTGAGTTCGAAAAATCTTCATATTAAAGCCAAAAAAGTTGAAAAAATTTGAAGATTGTGAAAAAATGTGTTCAAAATCTTACTCATTTCTTTGTTGCTAATTTGCGACAATCGTGCTATGATTTGCCATAATTTATATATTTTCTTAATTTTTCATTAAAAGTATAGCGCTGCACTAATGTACAAAATGTGTGTTTTATTTTTTCTATGTATGATTTTTTTCTTTGTTGGGTAAGTAATTCCTTTTGCGTTTTCATTTGGCAGCTTACTTTAATAAAAAAAAAAACGGAATTCTAGCAAATATTTCCGCATTTACGCTTAAGTACACACGCACTTACCGACATATTTTCGCCTTTAGCTACAATCTTAATTATTTTAAAATTTTTATTTTCTTGCTTTTTTTACAGTCAACAGAATATGGATAATAAATAGATGGTATTTGCCACTACCTCAGCATGTCACGCGCGCAAAGCACCAGAAGCTCATTCCGAAAATTTGTCTCGAAAATACGCGTATGTATGTATGTATGTACATTTGTATTTATAGTACATAATTTACATACACTTAATTAGTTAGTAGAAGAGTTTGTCGTACTTTTTCGTTTCCTTTTTTTTTTCTTATAAAAAAATTATACTTATTCCTCTGCTTTATAACTAAGAATTCTAAAAAAAAAAATGGCAACTCTCAAATACGTTGAATACGTTTCTTGTTGTTTTTGCTTTTCGTTGATTTTTCGTTGGGTGTAGATAGTGTAAATATTTATGTTTGTTTGTATGTAAAGCGAGCGCAGCAGAAGGAATGCTTGAATGAATACATGATTAGCTGAAGAATGAATGCAGCGAGTGTGCGCGAAATGTATGCGTTTCAGGAGTGAGTGAGTGAGTGAGTGAGTGATTGAGTGCGCGAGTGCATAAAAGTGGCAAAAAAAACGAAGGTTGCATGCAATATGCATGCTCGTACATACATATGTATGTATGTATGTATGTATGCATGTATGTATGTATGTTTGAATGGCACTTGCACAAATGCAAACAGCAGAGAGATAAACCAGAAATGCGTTGATGTGAGTGCGTATGTGTGTGTGTGTGTGTTTATGTGCAACTCTACTCCCATAAGTATGCTATGTTGCATGCAACGCCCGCTGCTTGCTACGCATGTGAGTGGGTGTGTGTGAATTTCTTATTATTTAAAGCCAGTGAGAAATATTGACTTTTCGTCAAAAAATGCTAAACAATCAGTGCTCATTCTGTTTTTTTGTGTGTATATGTAGCTGCTTGCCGAGATATTTCAGGGTGTGTGTCGGTGTGTGTGTGTTTGTGTTTCTACTGCAGTAAATTGATGCTGTGCTGGGGCGCTTATTTTGATTTCACTCACATTTTTCTATATTTCCTCTCCTTCGCTTTTACTCGCTTGACTTACATAAGAATAAACTTATTTTCACAAAAAAAAAAAAAAACATAAAAAGTGGTTTTGTAAAATATTTCGCTTAACATTTCTGGCTTTTCGCGAGTGCGTTTCATTTTGTTTAACTTATTTGTAAACATATGCACGGCTTGTGTTGTTATGTTTTGCTTCGTTTTTTTTTTTGTTGGCCTCACTCGATTCACACATACTCTACGCGCGATGCATTTTAACAACACTCTTCTTATCCAAAAAGGTTTTTATTAATTTTGTTTTCACTCTCTATTTTTAATTTATTTTTTTATTTTTTTCTATTCTATTAGACGATAATTTCGCGTATGACACGTCGATTGCGTGAATTGGGCGTTGACGAGTATTCACCCTCGTAGCTGTCATCATAGCTGAGTGACATGTGCTGCTGTGGCGGTATCACTTCATCCTGTTCCATATGCTCCATGTTGTAGGGGTTGGGTAGGCCGCTTACGTCGTGATATGGTGAATCTGGCGAAGAGACGAGAAGAAGTTGGGAAATTAGTTAGGTTAGAAGGAAAAAATAACAAATATGTAATTTTATGTGTGTGTATGCTTATTTATTGAGTGTAATCGATTGAATAGTTTTAATAATTGCGAAAATAAATATTTGTAGCATTTAGGAATGCAAACAAAAAATAAACAAAAAAGTAAAAAACATAACTAAACGTAAAACAAATAACAACCAAAAACTATCGTTTTTAAATATTTCGTTTTAAAATTATTTATCATAAAATCTATAATTGCGAGCCTAAAATCTGGCATTTTTTGTGACTACGGAAGCATCTAAGTAAAAAAATAATAATTTTGTCAATCTATTTAATAGAGAAAGCTTGAATAAACAAATATCTCATAGAGCAGTCTTTGCGTTCGAGTACGTATTTTGTACTGTTATGTGTACACAATATGTATAGATAAGGCGGAAATGCCACTCTCTTTCTATGGAGCTTAGGCCTAGCAAAAAATTATAAAAAAAAAATTGTAATCATAAAAAATAGTGTTATACAAAAATTATAATTTGGAAAAATTTGTGTTTGAAAAATTAGTAAAAATTTGTTGCTTAAACTACAGTGACCTAAACAAGTATTCACGTGTTGTTTTTTTTTAATATTCACAACGTTTTTTAAGCTTTTTTTGTTTTTCAATAGAAAATTTGGCCAAGCTTTAGCCAAACCATAGAAATCAAAGTTTCAAACTTTATACAAAATTTAGGAAAATTCCACAAATTTTCATAAAAATTTGGAGTTGCTACTGAGAATATTTACAAAATTTTTGGTCACAATTATAGTGTCAACTTTGCAACTTTTTCCATATAAGCATGAATTTCCTATGAAATAAAATGGAGGGAGACCGTTCGTAACAAATTTTCAAAAAATCAACGCCAGTTTTTATAAAATGAAGAGGTTATAAAAAAGAGTAAAAGCCGTAAAAAAAACATTCTCAAAAATTGCATGGAATATAAAACTACAAGCTCAAAAATTATATAAAGATTCAGATTAAAAAGCTCGAAATTTTGTTGTTTTCCTGGATTTTGTATATATTTTGAATCTTTGATTTATATCGTTTTGGCTAAAGCTTCGACAATATTTTTATAGAAAAATACCAAAAAAGATGTTGTATGTATTAAAAAAAATCAACACGTGAACACAAGTTTGAGTCACTGTATGCAGTACATTTATATATGCATATGTATGTATATGTGCCTGTGAGTGTTTGGTGTGCGTGTTTGTACTCTTCTTCATTTGATAATTTATTTATTGTTCTATTTCGCTCATCAAATTTTACTTTTGCTGTGAATGCAATACTCATACAAACTTACTTCAGGCGCTCTCCGTTAGAGCGTAACATCCTGTATTATATCCGCTTTACGATTGCAAGCATTAATAGATAAAGATAAGTGATAATATTTATAAATGGATTTGTATGTGAAGCGTTAAATATTAAATTACATTTCAATATACATATGTACATATATGTGTATGTAAGTATGTAGCATAAATTTAATTAATTAAATAATACACTAGCTTACATACTATATACATATATAAATATATCAGTAAAGTACTAGAATTCCATAATTGAAATTTAAATTTGTTACCGATTGATTTTCATGCAGCTTATTATGCATTAATTATTAGGTTAAGATATTATTAAGTTCGATTTTTTCTTGTTTATTAATAGAGCTACAAAGATTAGATAGCAGCTAATGGGCAAAAGCAATATTCCATATAAAGTTTTCCAATGCTTGGCGTTTGCTAGCTGTACTCAACTGATGAGGTTCTACGTACAAACATTATTTAATTGGCATACCTATTTAACCTACCTATTTAATACCCGAAAGTCAATTTGATATTGTTAATAGAAGAACATTATAGAAATAAGCACTCTTAACCCCCTAGTTGTAGACACCCCTGAGAAGAAGAGCCCAATCCAACGAAGCTGTTTTCGTACAAATCGAAAATACCCATAAAATATTTGTACAAATGTTTCAAATTTTCTATTTCCACAAAACAAAAGGAATACTTACATAATTAAGTATGTACATATGTACATATGTACGTCTTAAATTTCTTTATTAATTACTAATGGCGTTATTCACTAGATCTCCTAAAATTTGGCTCACTCTAAAAAGCATACGAAAATATGAGAAAAAGAGTTTAGTTACGGCAACAAATGTATGTATGTATTCAGCTGACTCTTTTCTCAGTCTACATCGAGAAATAGTATGTATCTACGTATCTACATAGATACGTACTTATGTATGCATATATGATATGTATAATTTTTAATTAATATATAAAATGTACGTTAACATGTTAGTAAG